GATACGATACGATACGATACGATACGATACGATACGATACGATACGATACGATACGATACGATACGATACGATACGATACGATACGATACGATACGATACGATACGATACGATACGATACGATACGATACGATACGATACGATACGATACGATACGATACGATACGATACGATACGATACGATACGATGCGATGCGATACGATGCGATGCGATGCGACGAGATGCGATACGACGAGATGCGATACGACGAGATGCGATACGATGCGATGCGATACGATGCGATGCGATGCGATACGAAGTGAAATGTATTAAGAACAGTTTTAAAAGGCAAAACTATACCGCTTAAATTTGGAAGTTCGTTAGCTTGATTGCTAATCGAAGAAATGAGTATAATAATATCCTGCTTGAATTTTGAAGCCGGAAAACGTTTTTTTTTAAATCTGTAAGTAGGATATGTTTAGTTTAAATAAAGTTTTCAAATAATGTAATAGCAAACAAATGTATATAATTAAACAAATAATTTATGTATTTTAAAAACTCTTTTTTAACTTTATTTATTGCTTAAAATACTTCTTATTGATAGATCAAACACTTTATTTAAGACACGGTTAAATGAAATAAAAAATAATTTGTATTATATAATTAACAGTTAATGGAAAGCAATATAGCATTTAGATAATCATGGTATCAATGGATGTAAATTTTACCTCAAGAGTTTGGCATTCAACGAAATATTGTTTATTCTCTTCGTAATGTGATATGGTCAGCAATATTTCTAAAGCAATTTTCACGACATGCTCTGTCACCTGTAAAGAATATCGAATGATAATTAGTTTACCCGAGAAAGTCTATATACGGGTTTTATCTAAAATGACTTCTAATACTACTCTAAGTAAACCAATGTGTATTTAGTGCTAATATTACGCCCTAATAATTAGTTTGAAAATGAAAATGCACAAATGAGAATGGTTCAAAACAAAAGTTATAACTTAAACGTAGCACCCTTAAAAATGAAAATAAAACGGTTACCTGAGTCGCAAAACTAGCACTTGTTTTACCCCGCGTGTATTTCCTAAATTGTTTAGATAGCAGAGTAACCAATCCATCCTCCGCAAAATTCTGTTTTTTTTAAAATTATAATAAATAACATAAATAATATACACTATATACAAATATGAACATAACAAAATATATCAGCTATTTATCAGATTATCTTTTAAATTAGTTATTATTTAAATCATGTATGGAATTACTTCTACTGTAGGTCGAAATTATGCATCAATGAAAGCAAAACCCCACTATAAATAATTAAACATAGGCAGGGGCGGAACTACCATACCGCCAGACCCCGCAATGCGGGGGGGGGGGGGGGCAGGATGTTTAGGGGCCCAGTTCCGACCAAAAAACAATGAATTTTTTTTTCAAAAATTATGTTTTTCACGCATCTTGAAAGTGGTTTTGTAAAAAAAAAAACAACAATAGGTCTACTATAGCAGAGATTGTTGCGTAGAAAAGTATTTTAAAATCTACAAGAGCTATAGTTTGAAAGGTAGGTAAACATTCACACTACTTCCATGACTTACTGCCCTTCTGTAAAATAGGGATGCCCACAAAGCTCATTTAAATAGTTTTGTACTATGTATATTAAAAAGCAATTGATTCTCTGAATTGTTATTTAAATAAGACGTACTATACAATAGTATAGATATAAAAATCAATGTTTTCAAAATTGATATTATAAAAGCCAAAAATGAAAAAAATAAACATAAAGCGAGAACCCATTCACGAATCAAGCTGACGTATTTATGTATTTTTGACCAGCATATTTATAATATCTCTTAACATGTCATGAGTTTAGGCTAAATTTTTTTCTGGTTTGTTCTCTCAGAATGGTTATTTGTTGCAATGAAATAGACTAAATTACTCAGTTAGGATATATATATATATATATATATATATATATATAGGGGGCCCTAATTTTTTCTTTGCGGGGGAGCCTTTTTTGTTCTAGTTCCGCCACTGAACTTAGGGCTTTATGAAAAACTAAATAATCATTTTTCTTACTTTTTACTATATGTATTGTGCTTTTAAAACCGTATTCACTTATTTCGTTTAATACAAATATTCAAAATAGCTGCATACATGGCAATGGCGTTTCTGTTTATTATTAATTTACTATAAAGTATAAATTAAGAATGACTGGCTCTTTTATAGTGCATTTTTCGATGTTTTATTCTATATTCTATAATTTCTCGCTTAAATAATAGCAATGACATATAAGTAAAATGCCGTAGAATATGAATTATTCCGGCTTAATTACGCTTTTTCCGCTTTTTTTGTCAGGTGGTTGCTTCATGCTCCAGTGCTTTGCATTACCTATTTCGAACGTGAGGGTCCGTTATTCAATAGACAGTTGAAGCCGTCAAGATCAGTTTTCGAGCTCGTGAGTATGTCTTACAAGCACGCGCTCTCCTGCAAGATCTCCAACAGCACATTTATTACTATACGGTAAAAAGGAACTATATACCTTAAGCCTTTTTTAAAGTGCCAATGTTTTTATTCTTACCATCGCTACGACTTTGTATAACTTTGTAAGCAGCAGGATTGTTTGTAAAGTATTGTGGGTGATAGGTATTGACGAATTTTCTTGGAAGATATCGAGTACTTTGTGTTCTCTAAGATGCCTTGTGGTTAACTCTGCAAGTAAGCGTAATTATGAAGGTTTCTATATAGGCATATATATATATATATATATATATATATATATATATATATATATATATATATATATATATATATATATATATATATATAATTTCATTTGGTTTACATAAAAATTCGTTAGTAATTTTATTTAGCTAAACGCTTTTCCATACAACACGCCATATGGTGTGCTTGCCGTAGTGGTAGCAAACCCGTGCCCAGAAAAATACGATCCAAGAAATATAGCGAAGTTACTGTTTACATTAAATATCTCAGAGTTATAAAATAAGGTCAAATATATAACATAGAGGATTGGTAACGCAATGATGAAACCCTATTAAACTCTCTAAAAAGATTACGTCAGATTTAGTTTGGAGACCGGATGGCTTTTACAAATGTATTGTGCCATTTATTGTACAATGTTTATCACTCATCTTTATAAAAGTTTTGCAAATGTATATTTAACAATATAAATCTTACTAAAATCCGTAATTAAGATCATTGCGGCTGAATTATCTATAGGTAATTAGTTTACTAAACACATACACACAAATAATTGAATATACACAAAAATGCATATATTATCTTGGAAAAATAAATTGTATTATACAAGGAAGTCTAGCCGATCTTTTAAGAAACTTAGAGATAATTTTTTTCGATCTTACTTAATACCTGTGTATGATTTTAAAGTAGTATCATCAACACAAGTAGCTGATTTTGCGGTTAGAACCTTCGCAAGCATATGTAAACATTTCTGATGAACATAGAACTGAAAAGGCTCAAACTTGACCATCGCGGCATATTCTTTCATGACAGCCAACATGTACTTTTGTATTTCTTCTGGTGATGGTGAGCTCGATTTCTACATCAAAATAAATCAATAACTCAATTAAAAATACAAAAACAAACTGTTGTAATAATGCATAATATTGTATTTCTCGTTACAGAACAATGATTTTTATGAATAATTTACTTAACAACGTTTATTCAGTAAGGAAAAAGATAAGTATATCTTAGCAACTACAAGCTATATAAATTAAAGCAAGAACAAGTTACTGACCTGTCACAATGAATATTTAATATTTTGTTTAACTTTCCTTGGGAGGAAACGAATACTTACACTGTACGTATCTATTTAGCATACCTGAAATACTAAATAAGCTCAAACATACAAAGCATTTAGGGTGGTAAAAGGGGTTATGTGTGGGTGTTAGATCCCACAAATGAACAAGAGAATAAAAACTGTCTTGTGCAGTGTGTGAATTTGTGGACATTTCCCAACTATCACTCTGATATTTCCGACACCAATGACTGCAGTTCCGTTTTTTAAAATACACTAAGAAAATTAACATTTAACGTACGATTTAAGAAGATAAGGGTACTGACCGTGTCAATCTTTGCTTGTTTTAAACTGCGAATGCAGATCAATGATCTGGAAATATAATATATATATATATATATATATATATATATATATATATATATATATATATATATATATATATATATATATATATATATATATATATATATATATATATATATATATATATATATATTAAAATGCATTTTTAAAAATTATTCTACTTAACAGTTTATTTAGAAATTTAACAATGTTTAAAAATTATCTAGTCTAACATAAGAATAAAATGTATACCTGCCCTTTAACCTTTTCATAGTTTAAAAGTGTTGGATTGATTGTCGAAGCTGAGCATTGTGATAGTTTTGCTACATGTATGGATCATAAAACAAGCATGAGTTAGCAAAATATGTTTACTTGATGAGATTGTGTATACCATATATTGATTAGTCGATATGCAGTTATATCTCACCTTCAAAATTAATTATACGGTTTCTTATCGTCTCAAAACTCATTTCATTTTCAATCGCGAAGTAAAGGAATAACCAAAAACAAAAGCTCCTCTTCTCATAGATATCGCGATAAAAACTTGGATCCAACACAAGAAAGTGCATGTTGTCAGCCAAATAAAATAACGTGCTAATTTGTTGGTCATTAAAATGCAAGTCGCATTTGTTGCAAGATATTGTGTCAATCACTGTTGATACCTTGTTTTTTTTTCAATTTTCAGTGACATTATTTCAAAACATTTAGGCTTATAGGATTGTGGTAGACTTACAGTTTTAGTACATGGGTGTCTTGTCCAATTGTAGAATGTCTGCAGATTGTGCTAAAAGAGCCGATCGGTTTGCGCTGGTTTTAGAATGTCTCAATCCTTTTTTAAGATACTTTTTATTTTGATGTGTTATAACAACTCTCTGTAACAACACTTGTAAAATTAAAAATCTGTCTTCCTTGGCTGCCAAGAAAAGTGGAATTGAATAAAATAAGTCATTATGACGTTCATTATTTCGAATGTCGTCGGAATTTAGTAACATGGTTATAATTTCTGAACACCCTTTCATTATAGCTACATTCAGAGAAAATTCACATTTTGCTCTATTTTTTATTAAATACTTGACGATTTCTAGATAACCTTCATTGACTACCATAGTCAAAGCACTTTGGCGGTGTTTATTGATTTTGTTAACCTCTGCACCATTTTGAACTAACAGCTTTACCACAGCGAGGTGGTTTTGCGCTGCACCAAGCAATAAAGCAGTGTAATCTTCAGTATTAGCTGTACTTAGTTCAGGCTCGTGTTTGAGTATTTCACGTACAACCTCGACATGACCGTGCTGTGAAGCGATCATCAGAGCAGTGTTTCCATAGTTGTCACATTTGTTGACGGGGCAATTATGTTCCAGCAACATTTTCGTTATTTCATGTGACCCCTTTTCAGCAGCTAAATGCAAGGCGGTTCCTGCAGATTCGGCAGAAACACCTAAGTCAGCTGACATACTTAAAAGGTAAGCTACCGTTTCCACTCGACCATGACCCGAAGCGTGCATTAAAGCCGTAGCTCCGTAACTGTCCTGAAAATCAATCATACTAGCTTTAAATTGTTTTGACTGACACATTTTCTCAACGATTTCTGTGTATCCATCTATAGAAGCTAACGTCAATGCGGTTAGGCATTCTTTGATTTCAAACAAATCAATCTCTGCGTCTTTTTCAAGTAACTGTGTAACAATGTTACTAAAACCTCGATTCGACGCTAACATGAGAGGACTTACGCCATTGTTAAGAACACAGTTACAGTTAACATCATTTCTTAACAAAAGCTCAACTATGTTCTCGTGCCCATATAAACAAGCGAGAAGTAAAGCATTTACTCCATGTTTGGCTTTAGCTTCCAAATCACAATGTTTCTCTATCAGCATTTCAACAATCTCTGTCATTCCATTCTCAACAGCCATATGTAAAGCAGTTAAATCAATTTTGTTTTTCAAATTTATATTGCTATTAGCTGTAATCAACACTTTGGCAATACCACTATTTCCATAATAGCAAGCAAACATTAAACTTGTATTCCCGTTATTGTCTTGAACATTTATATTAGCTTTTTGTTCGAGTAAAACTCTTACAACTTCTATGAAATCCAATTGTGTCGCCAATATTAATGCTGGAACTTTTATGGAAGTATCTTTATCAAACGGTTCATCGTTGTTTGTATATTTTAGGTAAGTTTTTAAAGCGTTATAATTTTGTAGAATCTCATCAATTTTCCAGGGCTCCGTTTGAATAGCATCGGCCACCAAATCTAATATTCGCACAAAAGCCAGTTCTTGCAGCTCTAAATTTCTCGAATGGCTAAAAGATTGAATTGGAATACCTCCTTCATAATCAGCACCCTGTTTAATTAATAGCTTAACAACTTCGGCGTGTCCAGCCTTAACTGCTAGCACAAAAGCATTTTCTCCTTTATTATTTGTTGTGTTAATACTAGCACCTTTACTTATTAGTGCTTGTAAAATGTCAGAGAATCCATTTTGTACCGCATACATTAATGCGTTGTAACCATTTTCATCTACAATAGTGCAATCAGCTTGGTTATCTAAGAGTGATTTCACAATGCGAACATTTCTATTTTGAGCAGCGATGATAAGACAGCTTTTATTGATGTCATTTACCATGTTGCAGTCAGCATTATGTTTAATTAACAAATCCACAACATCCCCGTGTCCACCTAAAGCAGCCAGCATTAATGCAGTTAGTCCGCTTTTACTTTTTACATTCACATCCACCCGATAACCTACCAGCACTTCGACTGTCCTAAGAAATCCTCTAGCGGATGCTAGCATTAAAGCGCTGATACCTTCCGAAGTAAGGAGATTATAATTTGCATTTCGGCGTATCAATAAATCAACAACATAATAGTAATTGTTTAATGCAGCCATCATTATCGCACTGAGCCCATTGCTTGTTAAGGCATTGCAGTCAGAGCCTTGATCTAGAAGAAATTTAATCTGGTCAATTTGACCTCTGTATGACGCCTGCATAAGCGGCGTTAACACATCATTGTCTAATGTTCTGGACGTCTCCGTAAAGCTGTCTGGCTGATGAATATCATCCGTGGTTTGTATTAACGGCATGATAGCAAATCAGTGTTATTTAGTTTTGAATAATAAAATATTTGCCTAGCATCACCAGTTTGAAAAACCACAACTCTGAAACATAATACTATATATATATATATATATATATATATATATATATATATATATATATATATATATATATATATATATATATATATATATACTATATATATTTCCACATACACATTTGTTGAGAATAACATATTGGTCATAACAGCATAACAGTCGAATGATTACTTTGAAAGTGCCATCTCCCTTACTGTTATATAAGAATAGGCGAGAAAGTTTAGGGTCGACCACTCCCGCTTAATTAAGTATACAATAGACTAACGTTGTTTAATTAGTTTACTTTTAAAATAATGTGTACAAATAGTTCAACTTAGTGTTTTACCGGCTACACGAAAATAGTAATGGTAAGTATAGTAGATCAAATTAAAACAATATTAGATTTAACCTGAATCCAGAATGCTTTTATACGGCCAATAAGACGACAAGGATGTAAAAAAAGAGTCAGAGGTAACCCCACCAGGCAGTGTTCTTAGGTGTAGTGTGTAGTAGGTCACGCGTTACGTCAATTGAAACATTATCCTTCAGTCCCCTGTCTACACATTTTAAACCAGCTTATCTGTCGGATAAAATCACTTTTGAAACTATCCTTATACGGCACATACTGTAATAGTAAACATACAATTAAATTTATATTAACAAATTAAATTTTAAGTATTTTCGACATTCTCAAAAAATTTCTTATAAATTGCAAATTAAATAAAAATACAAACAATCATTCTGTAAAATAAAAGGATCTGAGTTTGTTGAACTGGATGAAATATTACAAAATACAGATGGGAGAATATAATCTGTGAGACTTTGTTTTTACATCATTATATAATACTACAAATATATACTAATAAAAGAAGAAATATAACGAATAACAACACAAACGTTAAAATTTAAAATGTAACGTTTTGTTGTGTGAAAAGTAAGCATTTGTTCTTGTACCTGATTAAACTAAGAATACACATTAAAATTATTGTTATGTATATCATTACAAAGCCAATCGTACGTGTACATACACTTTCAGCACTTAAAAAAAGACAAACCTTGTCAAAATCTATATAGAAACCCATTAATACCTAAACTACGGCCACTGGATATATTACCAGAATTACATTTTTAAAGCCTTACAAGACGAAGAAGCGACCATTCCTGTGTCTTTTCAGCAACAGCTATTGTGACAGAAATACTGGGTTAAAGTACAACATCAAGACTGCCAGTCATAAACACTGGAATTCTGGACCATTAACCAAAGGCTGACGATAGATTGGGGAATCCCCTTTGAGAAATACAAAATACTTTAGTTATTGCATAACGATATAAATAATGATTATCAAGGCTGTCGTTCAGAATAAACAAAAACCAAAAACAAAGCTGTGTATATATATATATATATATATATATATATATATATATATATATATATATATATATATATATATATATATATATATATATATGGTAACAGGACAAATGATCTCAGGCTAAATATCCTAGTCAAAATATCTCACAGACAAATGATATCAGGACAGTTGATGTAACATTATTTTCTCTACAGTTAGCTCGTTTACGTCTTGGCGTTACCCCCCACTGCCTTGTAATAATTGTCTGTTTGTACTAAAAAGACAATTTTACTTTAATAAATTATTAACGAAACTGGCAAAAAAATTTCTTCTGTAAATTTTGCAATTATTTGGCCTTGGTGTCACCCGCCCTCACCCCTTCTCCCGCTAAACGGTGAGCCCCCCCCCCCCCACCCCATCCGCCCCACACTGTCTACGCCTCTGATTTCATGCATCAATTTCTGTTCTTAGACCCTGATCTCTCGCCCAGTTACTTTAGGACTTATTTATGTTGTCTATGTAAGATAGTAGAGGGAGGAGGGGGCGCGGTCACATTGACGTCAAGTTTTGTGGATGAGGGGGGGGGGGGGGGGTAGGTTGGCTAAGCAGTAATTTTCACACACCAGATATAGCATTCGTGTACTGCTGCTACAAAATAAACAATATATATTTATATGTTAATCATCAAAACACCGAATTAGTTTATTAAACAGATTCCTTGCCTTAAAAAATCAATTTTATTAAAAAAAAATTTCATTTATTTATCCCATTTTTTTTGCCGACAAAATAAAATTTATTTTTTAGTTGTTCTCGCATTCGTTGGTAATAATGAATACAAACATAATTATCTTAAGTATTTAACTGGAACAATATTAAAACATATTCTAACAAATATTGTTAATGATGGTGGAACTTATATTTAATTATTATAGAAATAACTTATTCATATATTATTAAAAATATAAAAATATGTATAATATATAAATACATGCATATAATATATCAGTTACAAAAAAGATTATGACTCTACATCACAGTGTTCAAAAATGCGAAGAAAAGTTCAAAGGAATGGTGTAAATATTGCACTATTAGCAAGTGCTTAAAAAAGTTATTTGAAATTTTTGTATACATTGAATCATTGTACTGCATTGCGTATTATCTGATCATATGATGTTAGGTGTTATGATAGATTATAAATATCTATCATGGTGTCTCCACCTCTCCCCCCTTCTTGCTACCCCACAGGTAACGGTACACACCTGGACCTGAGTCCGGCGGTATTGTAAGGCTGACCGGGCCTCGACCTCAGACTGCGGTCACGAGGGCGGAGCCTGAGTCATGTGACCTGTAGGGTAGGGACGCTACAGTCCGGTCACTCTACCTTCTCCCCTCTTCGGAGGTACACGTTTATTTTGGTGCTTAGGCACTAGCCATTATTACATTATAATTATTTTGGTGCTACGGCACTTGTTCTCCTCGGAGAAATTAAACGTACGTTTGGCAACGTGTGTAGAGGATTGTGTGGCTTCTTTGGAAGGTAATTAACACTTACTTTTATTAGCTGTAACGTTATAATATTAATTAATAAGTATGGAATGAATATAAAACAATGTATGAATGAAAGCATATTTTCTAGTAATGTTTATTGTAGGCCTTATGTAAGGCTAATGTAAATGTATTATCTGGGTAACAATTTTAAACTTGTATGTGTCTGAATGAATGTGTATATCACACATATGTTAGGAAGTTGTCTAATGTATTTTACAGCCGGCCAGCTTGGGGCTAAAACTTAGTACAGAGGTCTGTGTGTGAGGAAGTGTGACCACGCCGCCCTGAAGACCAGTCGCCCCTTCCAGGCTACTTTAAATTGTATCGTTATTACGTTGTCAATTATTAATGTATTAATTAATAAAAGTTAAAGGATTGGAAACTGATTTAATTATTCAATCCTAATTTTAACCCTTTTCACTGAGCCAAATATCGGCAATCAGTTAATAATAATAATACAACATTAATAAACTCAATATTACTATTAAGGGACCTCTTGTCCAACGAGACAAACCCTAGACTAACAGGTCATTCTGTAGCTGCGGCTATATTTATTTATGTGCGGTATGACTCGCTAGAGCATATTTGCCACATTAGGTGATGGCCTAAGTAAATATTTTCTGCCTTAGATAGACTTCAATAATAACATAAGAACTCATGCGCTAACTTCCCACTTGTAGCAAAAATGTCACAGGAAAAAAAAGTCACAATTATATATTTGCATTGAATTAGTTACTACTTTTAAGTGTTAATAATTAGCGAGTACAAATAAACTTAGATTAATTAACTATATTGTCGTGTACGTAGGTTGTATATGTATAGAAATACTTATAGCAAACGTAGACATATTTAGTAAGAAGTGTGTAGGCTTTAATTCCACTATACATATGATATTTAATAGAATCTAATAGAATGTTCCAGCCTTTTCGGTTTTCATCGTCTCTTTTAAATTAGCGTGAAATGGCATAAAGACGTTGCTAATCTGACTTGCTTCCCTCAACTCACTACAACAATACATCAACCACGTTTTCTGACCACATTCATCACGCTTATTACGTAACAAAGCATGGGATTAAAACAGAAAGCCGACGGGGTACAATGGCTAGCTTTGTCGCAAAACTCAACAACACACAATATGGATGGACAATGCTGACTGAGTAGATCAAGGATTGGCCACGGCAAAAACACATAAGCAAAACACAATGATGTGCCAACATTTTTTAAAATTACTTTTTCTACCGCGTATTTAACTAAATACGTAACAAACGTTGAGGTTGCTGTGTAAATTACGTCATATTATTTTTAGGTATTAATGTTATAAACCATAATGCTTTTACGTGTATAAATATGCTACTAAAAAGAATCAACCCACAACAATAAACACCCAAAATTTTACAATTCTCAACCATGCAATCAACATATTTCCTATAAGATTTTTGAGACTTTATTTTTGTGACTTTATTTCTGTGAATTTTTTTCTAATAAAAATGTTTGCTTTGTTACTTTTTTCTGTGGTTTTTTTTCTTTGACGTTTTCTATGGTGTGACTTTTCACCCCGGTCATTAAAAAAGAAGACTACTTGGTACTTGAATTTCCAAATGATTAATGTCATTATATTCCCCTAGCAAGTATGCAGTGAATAAGATAATAATAGACAAGTCAAGTAGTAGTAGTAGTAATAAATATATAAATTTACTCAGTAAAAATAACCTTTATAGTCCAATCATTACATATACAATCATTGAATTTTTTGTGTTTAGATTGTATCTTTGAATTCATTCTAAGGCGTTCAACTTGTTTTTTTTCTTTACAGAATCATGCCAAGACAATGCCAGCGCAAGACAAAACGAGGAACATTTACAAAACATGCCTTTGGGATGGCAGTTACAGCCCATTTTGAAGGAAAGTCACTCCGTAAAGATGCATCCGACTGTGGGGTTAAATATAAGACCCTTCAACGCTATGTAAATCTGCACACAACAGACGGCAACATTGAGCTAGTTTTGGCTACAGCACGCAGAAGAAGCGCATCTTCTCAGATGAGCAAGA